AGGTCACGGCAACCTATGTTACACAAAGAATAATTACTAATAAGATCGTCGGGGAGGACATGTCCAGTGACTGTTAAAATTTTAATATTTGAAAGTATCAATTCTTCGAAGATACAATGCTCTAAAAAAAGAATAACAATCAATCAGAAGATAATCAACTTGACGAATTGAGTTCAAGCATGTGAACTTATTCATACAATAATTCCAAAGATAGTTCTATTTCTCAGTTTTTGTTTATTTTTTTATTTTTTATTTATATTCGATTATTATACAAATTAGATTATCTGATTGTTAAGATCAAATATACCAAAAAATAAGAATACCTCATTTTATTCATCACTGACTATAAAAACAGAGTATTTAAATAGTTAAATAAAATATTCTTGTAATTAATAGATTAAAATTATTAGATACATACGTGAAACAATGTAATAATTTATTGAAAATTCACATACCAGAATCTATAAATTAAAATAGTCATTAACTTTTAATCACTTAAAAATCAGATATACTGCAACATATATATTATATTATATATTTTTACTTATTTACCATATATTTTTGGTAATTTTGCAGATGAATTAATTGGCTCGGAAAGATTTTTAAAATTAAGCAATTTACTTGTAAGTTTATCTTTAGGACATATTGGCAATTCTGTTGATAATGTTGAAATAATTGCATCTGCGGATTGGAACGCTTTTAATATTACTAATTCATCTTTATCTTCTGCTGCACTATAATCTACTATATTATACCATTTTAATAATTCATCATAGATACAGAATGCACATGGTCTATTAGAAGGATTAGCATCCATACATTGATTTGCCAATCGGATATAACACTCAGAAGTACCTTCAGCAAACTCAGGAGTAACCCATTACATATTCGGATAGCTAACATTTCATCATACTCAACATCATAATGGGGTGGTTTTCCGGTGGACATTTCGGTCATAATAATACCAAAACTATAAATATCTGCTGCTATTGTATATGATCGGTTAGTTAACACTTCTGGTGCGACATAAGGTAAAACGCCGTAAATGCTATCTTCTAAATCAGATTCATCTTTCTTTCTAGATAATCCTAGATCTGCAATATAAGAGATTATATTTCTATTAAGATATTGATTTAACAATATATTACCACTATGAAAATCTCTATGAATATATTCTGCTTTGTGAACTTTTTTTTAAATTTTCTAATATATCGACAAGCTGCTTTAATTTACTTTTCCAATTAAGTTCTTTAAAATTTGATAGCAAGAACTTATGAAGGCTTCCTTTATTTGCATAATGAAATACCATCAAATATTCATTATTATTTGTGCTTTGAGTTAGTCCATACACTTCAAGATTACTACCCATTAATCTAAATTGCATATAACTTTTAAACTTGTTAAATAAATAAATTTATAATGTTAATAATTTATCTGTATTAGATATGAGAACCCATAGCAAAGGGGGACGATGGGCAAAAAAAATTTTCTTTAAATCAATTTCTTAGAGTTTGAGTAATAGGCAAATAATTTTTATAAAATTACATAATAAAAATTTTTGGCCCATTGCCCCTTTTTGCTGTGGGGTCCCCAAATAAAATCAATTTTAACTTACTTCTCTTAAAAAATTCTTTTGTGAACCAGGTAATGTCTTAAGTGCAACTATACATGATGGTGTACGTGATTGCATGCACTTCCCATATTCATCTGAAACTATTCTTTTACCATCTAACCATGTTGCTGAAAACACTGAGCCAAATCCTCCTTCACCAATCTTTTGAACGTTATCAAATCTATTAAAAGGAATCCACTCGATTACATCTTCATAAGATTTAGCTTTAAGTTGAAATTCTTTAATGCAATCGTCGACATTCTTATTTCTGCTCATCGAACTTTTCTGAGGATCACATGTTTGACACCACGCTCTTGATGTGTTAGATCGGTTGCAATTTGCACATTTCCCATATTCATAATTTCTTTTAGAACCAATTCATCAAATGCCAACATATATTCATTTGTGGTTGTATTCTGAGTCAATCCATAGACACTTTCACCTTCTAATTGCATATGATTTTTAAACTTACAAAATATAAGAATTTATGTAAATATTAGAGACGTGATTAATTAAATAAGCTCATATGATATAATAAATAAAATATGATCTTACTTCTTTCAACATATCTAATAAATTTGGTGAACTAGTCAATGTTTTAAGATCCACTACGCATGTTGTACGTAATTGTGTATATTCATGTACATATCCATGCTCAGTTTTAACTTCCTTTACATATCGTATCCCATCTAACCAGGTTGCTAAAAATCTATCACCAATATTTCAAATGTTATCTAATCTATTAAAAGGAATCCATTCGATTACATATTCGTAATTTGTAGCATTAAGTTGAAATTCTTTAATGCAATTATCGACATCCTTATTTCCACTTGACCATCCTTGTATCGTTTTGTAAGTGTCACATATTTTACACCAAGCTGGCGACGTGTTATATCGATTGCAATTTGCACATTTTCCGTGCTTATTATGTCTTTTGGAACCAAATATCAACATATATTCATTTGTGGATGTGTTTTGAGTTAATCCATAGACACATTCGTCTCCTAATTGCATATGATTTTTAAACTTACAAAAAATAAGTAGAATTTGTTTATGTAAATACGTCATTAATAAAACTGCATATTAAATCAGTGTTGGTCGATGACCTAAGTCATATCATTTTTTTGATGACTTGTCATATAATCATATGACTTTTTGGTCATAAGTCATATTGGTCATATTAAATGCTAATAAAAAAATTTTTTCACTATGATTCTTACTATATTAAAAAAGGCCATAAGCCATATTAACCCTCATTATGACCAAATGACCTATGACTTGTCATGTAGGTCATTGAAGGTCATCGGCCAACACTGTGTTAAATTGCGTCCTATGATGTATAACATCAAGGGATTAAATAACTGATAAGAAAAATACATAACCAAATAAACTATATATAATAAAATAAAATAATAATATAATCTTACTTCTTTTAACATGTCTAATAAATTTGGTGAACTAGTTAAGGTTTTAAGCTCCACTACGCATGGTGTACGTGACTGTGTATATCCATCATAATATCCATCTTTATCTTTAATTTCATATGCACGTCGTATTCCATCTAACCATGTTGCTAAAAATATAACACCGATATTTTGGATATTATTTAATCTATTAAAAGGAATCCACTCGATTACATCTTCATAGTTTGTAGCATTAAATTGAAATTCTTTAATACAATTATCGACATCCTTATTTCCACTTGTCCATTCTTGTGTTATTTTTTGAGGGTCACATGTTTGACACCAAGCTGGCGATGTGTTATATCGGTTGCAATTTGCACATTTTCCATTATCCTCAATTCTTTTAGAAATAAATTCATCAAGCACCAACATATATTCATTTGTGGTTGTGTCTTGAGTTAATCCATAGACACTTTCATCTTCTAATTGCATATAATTTTTAAACTAACAAAATATAAGTAGAATTTATTTATGTAAATAAGTTATGAATTAAATGAATCACATATGCAATAAATAAATATAATCTTACTTCATTTAACACATCTAATAAATTTGGTGAACTAGTTAATGTCTTAAGA